GGTTTTTCATGAGACCCGTAAGACCAATTCTCAACCCTTGGATTAGATCTACAATTTGAACATTCATAATCATAAAATTGTCACGACACTTCTCAATAATCACAAAATTGTCACCATGCAACTTTAGACCATTAGCTTATTAGCTTATAAAGTTGATTAATGAACATAAATTGGTCTTACGGGTCTCACGAAAAACTATTTGTCTCACGTGAACCCAACCCTATATATATATGACTTAGACATGAGTCTCTTTTATGTAAGGACAAAAAACCGATCAATAGATTTATATTAATATTGTGAAAAAAAAATACCAGATATTTTTTACAGTGAAACTGTACCGTCACTATTTGTTCCAATTTTATACATAATTACTAAGAATTTACTATATTTAAGTTGTGGGTATGTGTCCTTTTCCATTGGTATGGCAATTGGCAATGCCATCTTATAGAGTGCAAATTTAATGGTATGAAATGAGCCATACACGTATCATTATAAATTCACTTGTTTTTTTGGTCAATTTTCATTGCATTAATCATTGAATAAATCCTCCATTTCAATATCACATCAAGACCCCACAATAATTTTAAAAAAAAGGACAAGGAAGAAAAAGAAATTTGAGTAAATTTACATTTTTAATCCTTGTGGTTTTTTAAAAGTTTCATATTTGGTTTGTTAAAAGATTCATATTTCACCCCTGGTCTTCGTTTATTACGTAGGTAGTTATTGTGGTTTGCATTTTGTTTTCCTTTTTATCCCTGGTCCTAATCACTAATAGTAAGGTCGTTGAATGAAGAGAGGGGGGGGGGGGGGGGGGGGGTTAAATAACGTTCACTTAAAAATTAACAATAAGATATAATATTACATTTTATTTATCATTGTATATAATATAAACATACTTAACCAGTCCCCGAGCTTCTTTCCCTGTTCCCCCCACCTCTCATCGTTGTTCCCCCTCCGGCAAAAACCCAGCTAATAAATACCATCCCTTCCCCTCCGACGAAAGACCTGGTGGTTAGTATGTTGCAGGTTTGACATTGGTGGAGCGCTCTCTCTCTCTCTCTCTCTCTCTCGCTCTCTCTCATCTAGTTTTTATAAAAAGTCAACGATATTCAAATACGAACCATAAATAAAATAAATGTCCTTTATTATTTTTGATTGACCTTTTGAATTAAGTTAGATTAGGTTGGAATTTACGATAATTGATTGTGTTGAAGCCATCGGATTAATTAATTGCAAGTGGTTGTCTTATCAAATTATTCCCAGGGTGGATGTATAATCACGTCATTTTTAACGTATTCTTCTTAAAATGGAGAAATAAAGTTTAAAATATTTATAAAAAATTACATTTAAATATAACATATTCTTTATTTTAAAAAACACATAATTAGCTATTTTATTAAAATA